TAGAAATGTTGCAAGTGATTCTCTAGAAATTTTAATTATATTCACTGGTAGGCATATAAAATTGTGTAATATATTCCTTTTTTTAAAGATGGTAGATTTTTCCTTAAATAGATTATCGAGAGGGATATTATATATATTATATAGCAATGGATGCGATGATTCATTTTCAAGTTGCGCGGGAAGCTTCGGCGTGCGTCCCACGTTTTATCATAATAAATGCAAGCGCTCGTGGATAATTGCACGTAATTGAGCATATATACATAGAAAGTTGTTAGAAGAAGAAAAAGGCGAAGAAAAGCAGGAGAAGGGTAACTAAAGGAGCATCGAACCGCGCGGTCCACTGACCGTTCTTTGCAACTGATTACTGCAATAATATGGAGAGTGACAGTAACGCACATTTACATATATTAATGTCCTTCATACTCGATAAAGTCAATGAACGTTCAATTTTGCGGAAAAAAAAATTATTTTTCATTTCCATTGAAACTGCTCATTGCAAAAAAGAAATTTACACTGTATAAAAAAGAAATTTTTCTTTCAGCCTACTTTTTGAGTAAACTCTTTTTTAATGCAGAACCATTTTTGACTGAATTTAATTAATTAATGATTACAGGGCTCGAATTAAGTCCGTAAATCCCGTAAAAGTCCGTAACTTTGCTTAAAGTTCGTAAAAGTCAGTTTTTTTGAAAAAAGGTCCGTAATTTGATTGAAAAAGAACGAAAAGTTCGTACATTGCACGATATAATTTGAAGAATTTTAAATAAATTACAAATGAATGTAGAAATTCAATTATTTTCAAAAGAAATAAAATTCTTCGCAGAAATTCAATTATGTTCAAAAATTTTTAAAAATTCTCCTGGAAATTTCAATTATCTTTATAAATATAATAAAATTTTTCTCCGAAATTCAATTATTTTCCAAAATTTTGGTAAATAAAATTGTTGGCAAAATTTCAATTATTCTCAAAAATTTTCCTCTTTCAATGATTTTCAATATCTACTATTTTAATAAAGTTTTACAAAACAATTCAATTATTTAAAAAACATTTAATAAAATTCTACGCAAACATCTAATTGTTTTCATAAAATAATAAAAATTTCACAGAAATTCAATTATTTACAAATTTTTTTTAAATTTCTTCGAAACAATTCAATTATTTTCATAAATAATAAATTTTTTACAAGGATTCAATTACTTTCGTAAATAATAAAATTTGTTTTAGGAATTCAATTATTTTCATTAAATAATAAAACACATTGCTGAATTTCAATTATTTTTAACATAATTTTAATCGAATTCCTAGCAAAATGTAATTATTCTTAAAAATTTTATTACAATTCATCAAGAGAATTCAATTATTTAAAAATGTTTTTGATAAAATTCTTTATGATAATTAAATTTTAAGAAACATTCAAATAATCAATAAATTATTTCTTTTTGTATTTCAATATTTGAATTCTAGTAAAATTCTTTAATAAAAATTAATTTAAAAATTAATTTCAGTTAAAATTTTAGATAATAATTGAATATTAAAGCAATATAGCGTGAATTTCTAGAAATAGAAATAATTGAATTTTGAAAAGGATTCAAACTAAAATCTTCGAAATTCTGAATTTTTCATATTTTTATCTAACAATTCTGTGAAATTAATTTTTTTAAGAAAGTTTAATTGTGGATTTTAAAAAAAAATTATTTCAAGTTTTTATTTTCTAATACATATTTAATTGAAGAATTTACGTATAATTGAAATCTTGCAAAATTCAATTGTAAACAAATGAATTAAAAAATTCTGAAAGAACTTTTTTTTAATTTATTAAAAATAATGATAATAATAATAATTAATTCTTCTTATAGAGAAGAAAATAAGTTAAAAACACGAAAAAAAATATATTTTTGGAAAAGTTACAAATTATTGCAGAAATTCAATTATTTCCAACAGTAATAATTTTCTTCGCAAAAATGAAATATTATTCAAATAAATAATAAAATTTTTTTTCGAGATTTAATTATTTTTACGAATAATAAAATTCATCGCAGAATTTCAATTCTTTTTAATACAATATTTTAATCGAATTTCTCGAAAAATGTAATTACTCTAAAAAATGTTATTAAAATCAGTCGAAAAAATTTAATTATTCAAAAATTTGTTGATATAATTCTTTCTGGGAATTTAACTTCAAGAAACATTCAATTATTCAATAAATTATTTATTTTTGTATTAAAATAATTAATTTAAAAATGAATTTTAGTTGAAATTTTATATTATAATTGAATGTTAAAAGCATTAGAGCGTGAATTTTTCAAAATAATTCATTGAAAAGGTTTCAAATTAAAATCTTTGAAAATCTGAATTTTCCATATTTTTAACTAACAATTCTTTAGAATTAATTTTTTAGAAAAAGTTTATTAGATTTTTTTTTTTTTTGAAATTATTTCAAGTTTTTATTTTCAAATACATTTTTAATTGAAGAATTTATGAATAATTTAAATTTTGTAAAATTGGATTGTAAACAAATGAATTTGAAAATTCTGAAAGAACTTTTTCAAAAGTTATTAAAAATAATGCTTATAGAGAAGAATTTTAGTTAAAAACACGTAAAAAAAACCTAATTTTGTAAAAGTTACAAATTATTGCAGAAATTCAATTATTATTTTCAAAAGTAATAATATTCTTCGCAAAAATTAAATGGGAATTCTTAATGGAAATTGAATTTTAAGAAACATTAAATTATTCAAGAAATTATTTCTTTTTGTCGTTAAATAATTGAATTGTAGTAGAATTTTGTAATAAAAATTGATTTAAAAATGAATTTCAGTTAAAATTGTGAATAATAATTGAATATTATAAGCGTGAATTTTTAGAAATAATTAAATTTTGAAATTAATTATTTTGAGAAATTTTAATGCCGATTCGCTTTATATTATTTGAAGTTTTTATTTTGCTATATATATATATTTGATTGAAGAATTTACGAATAATTGAAATTTCGTAAAATTGAATATTGTAAACAAATGGATTTTAAAATTGTCAAAGAACTTTTTCGAAAATTTTTAAAAATAATTGATTTAAAGAAGAATTTTAGTTACAATTCTTGAAAATAATAATTGAATTGATAATGATTTTATTACTCGGGCATTTTTAATTATTATAAAACATGAAGAAATCGATAACTCCAAGTCGAAGACTCGGAGTTATCGATATCTTCATGTAAAAAAAAATTATGATTTTAAGGTCTAAAATTCACTTAATCTAGTTTCAAACATAAATCAGGCTACTTTTTAATCATTTTCGTTCTAAGATGAAAACGGTTTCAGATTTTGTTTTCTCTAGGTGAGATTAGTTTTTTTTTTTTTGATAATTTTTTTTCACAGAAAGTTTGTTTGAAAATTAATTAAAATTCAGTCTTTATAAAATATTATGAATTATAAACCGAGTGATAATTTTTCCAACACAATTGATGAAAATTCAAGCAGGGAAGCTTCTCAAGTTACTTAATCAAAGAGATAAGTCTCACGCCAAAGAAAAAAAGAAGAATATGATCGTTCATTAAAAAAAGAAAAAAAAACACAGATTACAATGACCCTACATCTTCTCCTTCGTCGTCGTCGTCGTCTTCTTCTTGAGTCCTCTATGCTAATCACAATACCATATTGCATTCATAAAAGCCGCTGGGAAATCATCCATTCGTTGACCCCAGTCATAGGCCATTATAAACATTGTTACCATAGAGAAGAACGATGAAGCGCAAGCCGAAGTTCCGTTTATATACTAAGGACAGTTTCAATTCGCCTCTTGAATATAAGAAGAAAAAACCGCTAAAAACTCTCTTGTGCTCAACGAAGGATGCATCTAGCGCGAGGTCTTGATATAAACTCTCGCGTCCTTGCCATTTTCTTCAACCATCAGAGGAAACGCATCCTCTTGCCTCTCATTTTTGCTTCTCGTCGCTTGCATTCGAGTATCCGGCATATCGCATCCATTCGCAAAGGTCCATGTTAGTTTTAGAATCTCTTTCGACTATATAGATGAATTGGAGGAAGCAGAGAGACTGTAAAAAAGGGGAGAGGGAGGAGAGGCACTTGCAGAATCAGGATCGACACGGGCATGGAACCGTGCATGGAGATCAACGGGAACAGTAAACCGAGAGAAGCCTCGTCGACATCCTGTCTGAATTGCGACATTATTAAGAGAGGTGCATGCGCGCCGGAAGTTAAACTTGCGCAACTTTTAAGTCCATTGTCTTTAGGATTCCAAAGTGGAAGGTGAGTCGACCGGAATCTATACGCCAAAAGCAATTGACTCGCGATTCGTCCCTTCCGTCCTTACGGTATACCTAACTGATTATCTTTTTATAATATACAATCTACTGATTTATTAATAATTGAAAAAAATGTCACAATTTTTTTTCACATTTTTTATAACAAACGAAAAATTTTTAACAACATTATAACAACACAATTTAACTTCCAACATTTACTGGATGATGAATTTGAGTTTTTTTGTATCTCTTTTTTTTAATTTCATTCATTGTTTGCCTCGCTCTTTAAAAATGAGTCTCTTTTGTATATAAGCGAATGTCAATAATAAAAGTGTTGATTTTTTTTTGTTATGATGATGAGAAAAATAGTCTATTAGAATTAAAAAAAACGAAAGATTGAAAAGATAAATTAAAAAGTGGACTACGTATACATAGATCTGTATTATCTACCTGTGCCCTTTTTAAGATCTTGGGCCAAAACGATTGTAATTATTCTCTAAATCTAAATTAGTCTAAATTTAGACTAAATTTACGAGAAAGATTCATCAACTAAATGAATTAGTAATCTCCCTGAATCAGTTAAAAAAAATGATATAGAACCAAAAAGACAGTCTCTAAATCTAAATTATAGTCAAAAATTGTTAGCAAAACTATAACAGCTTCAGCGATTAGAACAAAATAATTTATAGTAAAACATAAATAATTCAGAGTTATAAAAAAATTTAATTTTGTTTTTCCACGATTTATCCTTGATTTTCAGACACAATTTTAACCTCATTCCTAATTTCTATAAAAAAATTCTATACACACTGAAAAAAATTTATTCGAAAAATTCAACTACCATTATGTATATAGTTGAGTGGAAAGAAGTTAAATTAATTTTTTTTATTACACTGAATAGATTATTTACAAAAATTTCAATAAAATTCTTTAAAAAACGAAATTATCTTTATTCAACGAAATATATCCCTAATCATGATCAATCGACTTGTGCAAAAGGAGCGAATTTTCGACCATCTCATGATGCTTTGAACTTCGACAATGAAGGCGATCAATGCAAGAGTGTATCCAATAGCCAAAGTGTGAAAAACCAGTGGAAGTAATTTTTCACCTGATATTTCCTCCGACCCAGAGGGATGATTAAGTTGCTTTTTTGTATCATTGTGTATCAATTTTGACAGTATGCCTGATTCTGAGGCTCGCAAAATTTTTTCGTTAAACTGATCAATGTATGGTGAATTACGTCTTGACATGAACGTTTGGAAGTAATATGATAAAGATTTCGGTAGTACCTTCATGTTCCATTTTTGTGTTCTTGATTCGAAATCTTTAACCGCTTCTTGAGAATCGCTTATTATGCAAGTCACATTTCCATACTTAGACAAGAAAGCCAGGCAGTTAAAATCCCTCCATTGATCAGGATACACAGTAGATTTTGTTCCTAATTTCTGAACCTCAGAGATAGGACTAATCAACAACATCTCTTTTACCAGTTGACTTGTCATATGTGTCAGGTCAGAATCAAGCAATTCTTTGAGTGTTGTTATTTCCGCCTGTGGTCGCCAATTGATGTCCAGAATTACTGAGTAAAAGTAGCTGGAGTATGCAATACAACAGATCATCAGCACGCCAAAAATTATTCTTTCTGGAGATTCTTCCGGCTCGTTGTCAGTTGACATTCCCAGTACAATTCGACTGACGTTAAAAGTTCGCCATGTTCTCCTTCTCAATTTTAACACGAGAGCTGTGATCCGAAGCAAAATAATTGCACCGACAGTGACACACATCATGGTAATTAATTCCTCGGACATTGTCAAAGTTTTAGTTGTTCTTGAATGTTTGGGAATTACAGCTTTCAAGCTACCAATACTAGTAATACGCATTCGAAGACTTTTTAAATGACTCTGATTGACTAAGATAACGTTTCTGGCATGTAAATCCATTTCCATTTTGTTTGCAGACAGAAGTGATCCATAAGCTCCAAAATCTTTGATTTTAAAAAATAATGTTTTCGTACGACAATTCATGTTTGTCGTTAAAAGATTAACAAATCTTCTGATTTTTTTCAGATTTTCTCCTTTTGGTAAAGAATTTTGATCAGTAGTGAAGCAAAATTTTAACATATACTTATGCAGGTTTCTCAGTTTGTTCGGGAACCATTGTACGTCATCTGTTAATTTCTGAGTGAAATAGGTTCCAGAAAAAGAATTCATCTGATGCAAAATCGATTGATTTAATTTGTCGGTTATCAAGAATCTTTGGTTGTCGTCTGGTTGCGTCATTACAGCAATATCGAGAAATTCATTCCGCCATAACCTTTTAATCAACTTTTTTATTGATAAAGAATTGTTGTGTGGAAATAGATTGATCATACATTTCGGATGTGAATATCCCATTGACAGACTATTCAGTTGTTCACCTACAGTTACTTCTTGAATCCTAGTTTCGTTTGGGTTGCCGCTGAGAAATAGAATAAACAATGTCGTTCTTCTGGGATTTTGTAGAGCCGACGAGTAGTTTGTCTCGATGAATTGATACCGAAAAGAAGACAAACTGATGCACAAGGTTGGAAAGTGCTTGCCAACTTCTCGAACGAGAGGATTTACTCTTGAACTTGGATAATTCATCATATGATCGCCAATGACAAACATTACCTGAGACAATAATTATATTCAATAATCAAAATAATAATAATAAATATATATAATATTTATTGTTTAAATCCACAGAACCTGACGTTTGTGTGCTGTTAATTAATATTAATAATATAATAATAAAATTAATATTAATAATATGCTGTTAATTTATATTAATATATATCGTTGTTTTAATGAATGATTATTGATAACAGATTTTACTGGAAAAATTAATACAAAATTTTCTAATAATGTAATTATGGCTTCTGAGAATATTTCGAACTTATTTAATCAAAAATAGAGTAAGCATTTAGAATTTAAAAATATTTATATTTGTATGTTTATTTTTATTAAATCATGAGGTTCCGTGGATGCTTTAATATCACAATTATTATTGCATCAACAACGTTTATATTAATTTTATATTTCATTTACTTATTGAATAATTAATTTAATAAATTAATAATAGCATTTTTTTATCAGTTATTATTATTAATCTTAGACTCCTTAACAGGGATTTTTTGGTAACCTAATCTAAACTACTTCATTGTCTAGATATTTTCTTACATTTTTTGGGTTTCTTTAATTACACAGCCACACAAAAAAAAAAAAGTTCTGATCTGGGGGTCTCACTATGTAGACTTTATGTTTTTTGGGTCGCTGAATCCGAATCCGAGGTCCATTTAACCCCATCAGATCAGGATTTTGACATAACCTCAAAAACCCAATATGGCGGACACATTTTTGAAAAGTTCATTGGATTCGCTTGAAATTCGTTACTCGGGGGTTTTTGGGGTCGCTGATTACGAATTTGAAGTCTGATTTCAAAAATTCAAAATGGCGGATCCACTATAGCGGACACATTTTTGAAAAATTCATCGGATTCGCTTGAAATTCGTTACTCTGGGGTTTTTGGGGTCGCTGATTACGAATTTGAAGTCAGATTTCAAAAATTCAAAATGGCGGATCCAATATCTCTGTGTCAGCCATATTGGATCCGCCATTTTGAATTTTGAAAAACCGACATCAGATTCGTAATCAGCGACCCCAAAAACCCCAGAGTAACGAATTTCAAGCGAATCCGATGAATTTTTCAAAAACGTGTCCGCCATTTTGAATTTTTGAAATCAGACTTCAAATTCGTAATCAGCGACCCCAAAAACCCCCGAGTAACGAATTTCAAGCGAATCCAATGAACTTTTCAAAAATGTGTCCGCCATATTGGGTTTTTGAGGTTATGTCAATATCCTGATCTGATGGGGTTAAATGGACCTCGGATTCGGATTCAGCGACCCAAAAAACATAAAGTCTACATAGTGAGACCCCCAGATCAGAACTTTTTTTTTTTTGTGTGGCTGTGTTATTTGATCACATTAACCCTCTGCTGTTACTATCGAACGTTATTTTCAAAATTCATCAGATTGGACACCTAGTGGGGACAGATTGGGGATAAGTTAGCAACGGAAGAGGGTTAACAAAATTTAAAAAAAAACATTTTCTTTCATATTGAAAATAAAGAGAATGCGTTGTGTTAAATTGATTTTGAATGAAATCAAACTTTATATCAACGAATCAAATTTGGAGTATTATAGCATCCCGGTTGCGGGCAGTAATGTATACTCTCTAAATCTGAATTAGCGAAATTCCACTAATTTCCCAGCGATAAGTATATCACTGATTCAATTAGCGTATATACGCTGTGAATTAGTGAAATTTCACTGATTAATTAGCGTATATAAGCTATTTGAATCAGTGATAATTATACTTATCGCTGGGAAATTAGTGGAATTTCGCTAATTCAGATTTAGAGAGTATTATCTAGATATGCGAAGGAGTCTAGGGTTAATATTATTATATTTATTACTATAATAATATAATTATAATTAGTTAATTTTTATCAAAGTAGAAGTATGTTTATAATTATTTAATTTAATTGTTGACAATTAATGATAATTGCATTTAACAAATAAATTCTAAATTACCTGATGTAATTTCGACTCTTTCTGCAGATAGTTTGTGAATCCTTTCAGGTAATCATGTTTTGGTGCGTCCCCCAGACTGCCTGTTCCGATTATTATTAAAAATACGTTGAACTTTACGAACTTCATATCAGCAATTTCTTTGAAACATATCATCAGCATTTAAATCATTATAATGAAATTGTAACTCTTCATCGTAATAGAAGGAAATTGAAAGCTGCAATAGAAACATTAGATTGACAACTTGAAACTGAACTTCGAAGTGTTAAAAAATTTTCCAAAGTGGAACTCTACTTGACTATCTATTCTTGTACGCGAGTAGTGATTTTTCATTATTTTACATAGATGGTATCGCTTTAATTGTAAACCAATTTTTTTTAAAAAATAACTTCCAAAGAAATCGATTTTTCACCTTTTTTGTTTCCTACGTTCTTGAAAATATCTATATATAAATTGTGCACAATACATTAGTATAGTTTCTTTATTCGAATTACTTTATTGACATTTTTTAGTTGTGGAAAACGTTTTTCAATTTTTTTAGTTTAATTTCTTTCAATTATTTAATTTATCTTTTAATAATAATTTATCCGTTAAATGAAAACATCTAATTTCTTATTTTATTAGTGCTAAATAAGATATTTATATAAAACTAGTAAATAATTTTGTTGGCTATCGTGAATAATATAATAAAAATTTCGATCAAATAATAAATTATTTTTGTTTGAAATAAATATTTTATGACTGTACGTAGAAAAATAAAAAAGGAATGAATATGAAAATAAAACCCGAATACACATAATTTTCATTGTGGACTAATTAAGTTTTAATCATTTAATTACTTAAAATAAAATGTTTGTTTTAATTAACTTTAATTAAATTATCAGTAAAAGAAATTACCTTAAAGCATATAATTATGTATTTTAAAATGTAGTTTAAAGCAGAAAATTCGATACTGTTCTTTATTGAAATTTTTCTCTCATGCTGTTAAATCGATTAATGCATAACAAGCAAATTTACGACCAATTCAAAATATCCAAGCGAAAAATTCCAAAGTTACAGAAGTCCAAAAAAATAAAAACAAATAGTTTCACTTATGACTAAAAAGTCATTGATTGGATTTTTTGTCCTGATTAAAAAGTCCAAATCAAAATATCCAAATGTAGGTAGGATATACATAAAGAAGTAAATAAATAGATAGGTAAATAATATTTTAATAATTAAAAAATTTTTTTTTAAATTTTCATTAATTTTAATAATTTTAGTTATTTTGTTAATACTTATTATTTTTAAATTATTTGTTTTAAATAATTTTTTTTTGAAAAATGAAAAAAATGTAAAGGTGAATATAAACGAAATAAATTTAAAAGACAACATTTTATTAAAATAAAATGAGAAGGATTTATTTTTTGTAAATATATCAAGGAAACATACATCATTTATATTAATTTTAAATTTGATTTTGATTTTGTAATTGATTAATTAATTTAATAAGGTAATAATAACATTTTTTATTAGTTATTATTATTATTCATTGACTCCTTAACAGGGATTTTATGCTACCCTAATCAATAATTTAAACTCTTTCATTGTCTACAGATATTTTTTTTTAGATTTTTTGGGTTTCTTGAATTATTAGGTAATAGTTAATAATAATAATTAGATTTAATAAATAAATTCTAAATTACCTGATTTAGATGCCTTTCGACTCTTTCTGTAGATAGTTTGTGAATCCTTTATTATAATATTATAATAAAATTGTTACTTTTTTTATCATAGAAGAAAATGAAAAATTGGAACAGAAACTAGAATGACAACTTGAAAGTGAACTTCTCAGTTCTAAAAAATTTTCCAAAGTGGAACTCTACTTTACGGTATCTATTCTTGTATGTCAGTAGTGATTTTTCATTATTTTACGTAGATGGTATCGCTTTTAATTGTAAACCAAGCTTTTTTGAAAATAACTTTCAGAGAAATTGATTTTTTACCTTTTTCGTTTCCTACGTCCTTGAAAACAGTGAAATGTAAATTGTGCGCTACATATTAGTTTGTAGTTTGTTCGAATTTTTAAGTTGTTGTAAGTGTTTTTTAATTGTTGAATTCATATGTTTTCAACTATATTCTAATTTAATTTCTTCCAATTATAATTTTATCTTCGAATAATAATTTTCCCTTGAATAATTCTATAGAAATTCTCGGGACTCTCCCAGAAAATTCCTGGGAATTTCTCGGAGATTTCCCGGGGGAACTTTTTCATCTGGGTATTTTTAATTTATTTAACATTGGTCCCGCAGTCCCTATGGACCATACATGGGTAACTAAATTAAAGAATATAAAATATAATATAAAATACAAAAACAAAATTGTATAGAAATTTCAATGGAAGAATAATGTCATGCTGCCGCATTTAACAATTATCGTTCAGGCATGTGTCGATATAGTGCTCAATGGTAGAAGTAAAATAGTTTAAAGAAGAAAAAAATAAGTCTAAATCTGGTTTCATTTTTAACCTTCGGAGAACACACCTCTTTTTTAGGTCATTTTTCAATGCTCAACCAATTTTGAACTGTTCATCTGCTTAACCTAAGAATTTTTTAAAAATATAGTTTAAACTCTGTAAAATAAGTCTGTGTACTTTAAAATCCTTATAAAAAATATTAAACAATAGATAAAAAGATTTTCGCAAAAAATCGTGGGGTCAAAATGACCCCATGTGTTCTCCGAGGGTTAAATACAATGAAATTAAAGGAAATTTAAATTATTTTAAGGATATATTTATTTAAAGTTCGTTTGAAATTCGATTATATTCAATAATTGTATTACAATTTCTTTTAATTTTTTTCAATTCTAAATAAAAACTCTTTAAAAATTCAATTACTTGCAGAATATTTAATTATTTTACTTAATTTTCGTATGTAACTTTATAAAGTTTTCAATTATTTTAAGAATTTTGAATTAAAATTCCTAGACAATTTAATTGTATACAAATATTTAAATACAATTAAAAAAAAAATCAATTAAATTTCTAATTTTTAACTAAATTTGAGAACAATAATCATAAATTTTTTTGGAATTTTTGTATAATTATTTAAAATCTTAAATTATTTCGAGAATTTTCAACTAAAATTTTATGAAAAGTCAATTATTTTCCGAAATTTTAATATTAATTTTTAAAATAATATGGATTGTTTTCTAAAATTTTTTTACTGCAATTTTTTTAAAGCTAAATTTCTTAAAATAAACTATATCAATCTTTTTAAAATTCACTAATCCTAATGAAAATTTTATTTATAACTCTTTCGTAATTAAATTATTTAAGGTGCAATTTAGATACTTAAATGCTGCATTTTATCAATTATTAAATTAAAATTTTTTGTAAAATCCTTTTATTTTGAAACTTTTAATGAAACTCTTCAATATAGTTAATTATTTTCAATAAAACTTCAAAAAAAAAAAAAATTCAATAAATAATGACAATTCTTTAATAAAATTATTTAAAAATTCAAATCAAATTCAATTTTTTAATAAATTGAATTACAATTTTTTTAGAAACCTAATTTTTTCAAAATTATGAATAAAATTCTTTAAAACTTAAATAATTTTTAGAATAAATATTTAATTATTAATTTCTTTCAAAGCAATTAAAATTTTTGAAAAATTGCAATTTAGAACCTTTTAAAATTTTATTTTATTATTATGTTTTTCAAAAATGTTTTTTGACACTAAAAACCAGAATATTTCCTGATATCCCTAACCAAATTCATTGTTCCTGATTCCTCTGACTTGTGCGGCAAACCTGTAATTAGTAAAAATAGAAAATTCATAAATAAATAAGAAGAATTCACTTGGAAATCGTTTGCAATGACGAATCTGACATTAAATTCTAGAAATTCAAAATGGAACATTCAATTTTTTGCACTTTCTATTATTACTACTTTTATTATTACTTTTTTCTATTATTATTACTTACTTTCTATTAATTTATCAGATTCGGTGATTTGTGGTGTAAATTTGATAAAATTTCAAAAATATTAATTGCCACGTTGGATTCGTCATTTTGAATTTAGTAAAACTGATGTACTAATTTGTATAATAAGTATCGAAATTTCTATTATACTTCGAAGTTTTAAAATAATGTAAATTAAAAATTTAATTCTAACATGTCTTTCACTTATGCTGTAATAATTTAATTGCATTAAAAATTTCATAAATTAAAATAGGTTAAATTTATTTAGAATAATTAGTGCAATACAACATTCAAGCGCTGATAATTTTGCTAGTATAATAATAAAGATAATTTAAAATTGCACATTTTTCGTGAAAACACGAAAAAGTTATCAAAAAAAGATAAATATTCTATTGCGCTTTACAATTTCTAACTACTGTCTTTTGCCACGTAGCATTAGAGTGAGTAATAACGGAAACATGTGAATAAAGATGACTAATTTCTGTAATTTTTAAAAGAAGCCCAATTTTTAGGTCATAAAAATGTAAGTATTTAATATTTTCTGGCTAATTCTTAGGGGTTTCAGATTTTTTGATTATCCAGATAGCACGTAATCTTTTAATTATATTATTAGCTTTAAAATTAAAGAATCTTTCAATCTATTATGTACTATGAAAAAATTAAAAATGAATGTATTATTAAAATAAAATACAGATTTTCCTTTAAAGAGAGTTTATATTAAAAATTAGTAAATGACAGGAAAACGTTTACCGTTAACGGACATAATAAAAATATTTGTTTTACTGATTCAAGCGAAATCACTAAAATTTTACATAAATGCAAATAGATACACAAAAGTGTCAAAAACACTCGCAATATTCTCGAAAGACTTTCATCAGAATTGCGCACGCACATTCATAGAATGACCAATGCTACTGCGCATGCGCAAACATTAGGTAAACGTTGCGCATGTCCAGAATGTATATATAATAAATAAATTAATATTCTTTTCAGTTCAGTACGCTTTAGTTTTCGATAAACCCAATCTAATTGAAGATGAAATTTAAAAAAAAGGTACTATATTTTTTTTTGTTTTTTATACAAATGAATAATTTCTGTTTATCTAAAGTGCAAAATTATCAAGATGCTAAACAAACGGAGGTAGGTTGTAAAAAATATGAACAATTTCTTTGAATTGGTAAATAAAGAAAATGGTAAGTAAACATCTAATAAAACAATTTTTTGCAGAACGAACTTCTCAATAGCGAAGATCCTTTTTGTATAATTGGAAAGTTATACAATGACTCGACTGTTACGGACACATTTTTTGAGAATCTAGTTATAAAAAAATTGTTTATCATAATAGCAGATGATATGAACGACGGGATAATGTTAGCTGATTTCTTGAGTACCGGAAATAGAGTTAAATTTGATTTGGAAGATCTTTTTGAGAATGAAGTATTTCGACAAAATAAAATACAAGAACATTTTTATTTGTACAAATCGAAATTAAAAGATGTACATATATTTGTCTATCCTACAAACACACCGAATGAACTATTAATAGACTACTTAGCAAAGAAAACTATAGAATCGGCACAATATTTAAAAGTTGCACTTATATGTAAAAATGATAATAACACTGAAATTTTGAATTCTATGTTTTTGATTGCATCAAAAATTTTTCAACTTGACATTGAACGACATCGTTGCGAAATGGAATACAACATTATTTTTCTCCCATTAAATATAAATGATTCTACAGAATGTACACTTGGAGTGAAAATAATAAAAGATTACTATATACATAGTTTTAGAAGATTTCAGACTGCAAATAGTAATGCTTTTGATACGATTGAACGCAAAGAAATTTTCAGAAGTTTGAGTAAACAGGAGCAATTAGAATATCTTGTCATAAAACCTCTTCTTGATGATGAAGACCATGTTAACAATACATGTTCAAATTCTCCAAGTATTTTAGAAAATGATTATCTATTACAAGAGAGCAAATTAATTAAACTTCGTAGTTTCTTAAAACCAGAGACCAATGTCATAAATAAAGAATGTTTTGACAAAATAGTAAGAAGTGAAACATTCTTCATATCGGATTTGAACTTTTTGCCGGATTGGTTGATTTTTGCAAACAAAAATGCTTTAATGATAATTGCCAATAGAGACAATGAATCGATGGATGAATTAAAAGAAAATCTTTGTTACAATGAAGAGATTTTAAAAATTTTTAAAGTTATTTGTTTTGTCAGTAACATTTTTGACAATCATATGATATGGTACAATTATTTGAAACAAATTTTACCTTACTTTTTAAAACAGGAAAAAGTATTGTCTTCCAATTTAAATGTGTGCTCTGAAAATGATAGGAATACTAAAGAAATTCAAATATCGAATGAATTAATATTGCAAAACAATATTGAATCAAAATTGAGGGACTTTTATTCTGGCGAAAAAGAACAGATTAGTAAACTAAAGGTAATACTTAATAAAATTTCTTATTCAAATAAATTAATTCCGAAATGAATTCAATAATATTTCTTAATAGTTCAGATTTAGTATGACAAAAAAATAAAATATTATAATCTTAGCACTAGTTTTGATGTTAAAATAAAATTTCTTTCTTTTGTCGAAGAGATAATTAATTTGTATTTAAAAAATTATAAATATTAGAACACAATTGCATACTTAACAAAACATTTTTTACAGAAATTTCTATTTCCACATTCAACAATAACAAGGGAATATAATTGCGAATTTATGAAACTTTATAAAATATTTCAAACAATCAAAATTTTTGGCGAAGATATAAATATAAAAAAACTATTTCTCGTAATAGCAGAAGATATGAATGATGGCATAGAGTTAGCTGATTTTATGAGCAATAACACAAGAGTCCATGGTTCAGAGAAATTAAAAGAGAAAGATTCGAAACTACATACAATGATAATGAAAAATTATTATTTGTATTACAATAAAGATGCATCCACATACATTTTAGTTTATCCTAGAAATGTAACGGATCATTTGTTAGCGACATACATGACAAAAAGGACTATAGAATTGGCAAAAGAATTAAAAATTGCACTCACATGTCAGAAAGAAATCAACAAATTCTCTTTGGAATCTATGTTGCTAATTGCGTCAGAAATATTAGAATTAGATATCGATAATTACTTTACAAATAATAAAAATGGAATTATTATTTTACCATCAAACATTAAGGAGGATTTTTCATATGAAACAATGAGGAGTGAATTTATTGAAAATTATTCTGAAAAATTTGAAAAATATGAAAAAGAGACGAATTTAAAAACATGGTTTGAGGAGAGTAACTTTAAAAATTTACATATTAAAGAGCAATTGGAATATCTTATACTGAAATATCTTTATGAAAATTCCTTCAATAACGTGTTACTAATTTCTTCTTACACAATGATATACCCTATTCATGTACATAATTTCCTACCAATAGAATCGAATATTATTACTATTCGATATTTCAATTCCTTCAACTATGCTATTCCGAATAGATGTTTACATGAAATTTTTCTCCTCATTAATGGAAAGTATGCCAAACAAAACTCACCATCAAATATAACATCTTTAACAGGTCTATTAACTTTTCCAACTTGGATAACCAAAGTGAAGCAAGGAATGTGTATAAACAAAAATAAAAATGATAAACTCATTACAAAATTTATAATCAATCTTTGTAACAGCCCAAATCAAATAGAAATTGTCGAGATGATTTGTCTTATGAGATACATAGAAGATCATGATCCAAATCTTGAATTAAAATTATTTAGTCTTTTACAACACTATATAATAAATTATTATTGTAATACTGAAAGAAATTGGTTTTTAGAAATTGAATCAATGTACATGGATCGAATTAAGCATATAGGTAAAAATATACTGTTAAAAAGATTACCAAAATTTTATGCGGAAATATTAAAAACTCACGAAAACAAGCAGTCTATCATGAAAGAAGCTTATAACCTAGTGTTCAATTTTATTAATTTCGAAATTGAAAATACATGTAATTCAATAAATAATGGAACCTACAAACTGCAATTAAGAGGATATATCCTTAAGTTTAGTGAAATGCTGTACACGCAGTATTGTCCTGGAAAAGTCACAATTTTAGAAATGTTTGCTTGGAATAAAATTATCATTGATGACGATCTAGATAGTAATGAACTGCAACAACTCATTTTAATTGCACCAACTTGGGAAATTATTTCAAATAGAACCATTCGCTTAGATGGTGCTCCTGGACAAAGTATTTGGGTAAGTTGACAAAAGTTTTTTTCTAAATTATGATAGTATTTTGTCTATAGTATTTTTACAGTATAGTTCGATAGTAATTTTAGAAAAAATTTCTTATAATGATGGATAATAACAAAAACTTTTCAGAAGCCGAAAACATTTTCTGATCGCATTTATGGTTTACACGGTTCACCTGGAGAACCTGGAGGATCATTTTATGGATACGTTCATGATATTATTAATGCAGAAAATTTATGTATTGTTAGTAATGGAGGTGAAGGAAGTGACGGACAAGATGGCTACGATTTGGTATGGTCATTTGAAAATATTGCTTACCAAGATACATATGGAGAAAATGTTGAAGGTAAAGGAGGAAAAGGTGGAATTTCTGGTTATATTACAATTTTTCCAGTTAACATAACTGATTTGAAAATAAAGTGGAAGAATGCTTCCGGTAATTACGGCAGATCTGGTAAAGTTATAAGAGTAGAAATGGATTATAATCATAATCAACAAATGATTATAGATAGGGAAAACACTTGCCAAATAGCAGATAGAAAAATGAAAAATCAACAAAGTATTAATTCTTCTTATGTACTAAATGCTGATATTCTTGAAAATAATTTCCGTACAAGTGCATATAATTATCAAGTATATACTTCAATTATGAACGGAGGAAATTGAATATGTAAATTTTTACAAAAAATTCAGTATCCGCGAAATGATATAATATTCGGACCATTTCGCTTTGTTCAGGAATTGTTTGATTTAGAAAACTATTACTCATTGAAATATTCCAACTCTTATTTGAAATTAAAAATATATCTATATTAAAAATCCGTAGGAATTGTAAAACTTTTTATCTAGTACATACATATAAAACATGATTTTTTTGCGACCGAGAGCGTGCAAATTCCACCGACAAATTTTGAACCGAAAAAATATATTTTTCGTGATTTACTTTGTAATTTTAATTTAATTTATCTTGAATTTAAATTAAATTTCGCTTTTTAATTGTAAGTTTAATTTTGCTTTTAAATTGTAAGTTTTGATTTACTTTCCTCTTGTATAACATTAACTGAGAAAGAAATATGAAATATTAATAAACTATTAAAAACAATATTAAAAATAACCTCTGTCAAGTTTCATCTTATTTCAAGAATCTCCTTAAAAGAAAAAATTAGTGATTGTAGTAATTAGTAAAAGAAAACTACTAACTAGCAGAACATATTTACTAATCAGTACAAGAAAACTCTATAATTAATATTAAAAATAACTTATTAGTAGAGAAAACTACTAATTTGGTTAGTAAGATTAATTAAATATTATACTTTGATTAAATTAGAGAGTGGAGTAAAAATTAATTACATAAAGAAACGGATATTAATAATTAAAATCAAGAAATTAATAGTATAATTGCTTAATAAATAAAATTAAACAAAATAATCAATTTATTACTAAACATATTTTTAATTATAGTTCTAATTTATTTTTATTTAATTGAAATTAATTAATAAACGTAAATAATAAGAAAAGATAAATTAAAGGAAAAAAATCGGTGGTACATTTAAAGAATTTATAAAATTAAGAATTAATACTAATATTTATTGACTATTTATATTTATCACTACTTATTGACAAAAATAACTTTGATCAATTATCATTTTTAATTTTTTCGTAAATCATTTATTTCTATTGCAATAAATAATAAATTTTGAATAAATAGGAATTTTTTTAAAAAAATATATCATCATTTACATTCGACCCATTTTTAATTAAAAAAGCAGAAAAAAACCAACTTTTTAAGCTCTTACGCTGCTACTATGCATAATTAATGAAGATATTCATTAACTACTCCATATATTTTCTAAAAATTTTTTGTTTCTTTTTAGCGATTTCCCTTATACTAAAAGTGACGTTATGAGGAATGAATCCGCTCCTCCTCCTGCCATCTTTAATACATGATTTATGTTGCAGTTGAACATGAAAAATATGTAAACAAAGAGATCAAAAGATCAGGTAATTTACATTAATTTACATTTATTTCATATATATGTATTTATATACGTGTGAGTTTCATGGAATTTCGGTGCAACTTTAATTTTGAGAGAGAGAAAGAGAATTAAAATTCAGATTAGATGAGATAATGTCTATAATAAATAGTGAGAAAGGTGATCTGTTTTTGTTTTTTTTTTATATATATTCTTTGGAAGCAGAGCGTGAATTTAAAATAAAAAAATATCCTCTTTTTTATTACATTTTTCTTTCGAAACATTTCTGTTTTCTTTTTGGTGAGAAAACTCTTAAAATTGGAGGAAAAAAAAATTCCTGACACTTGACACGTGACTAAATATTTGAATTTCCATTGTTTCGAAAGAAGGAGAAATTTAGGAAATGAAGATACTTTAATTTTACCCACGGTTAACGAGAGTCATTTAGTATTATTTATTGTAGATAAACTAATTTTTTAGAATTAATTAACCCAATTTCCGAATTAAAGAAAAGTATGTACATAATATTATTTAATTAGTAGAAAAAACTGGTAACTATTAGAAGAATACTACTAATTAACAAAAGAAATTTATTAATTTATTAAACAAAACTATGAAATTACCACGAATTCTAAAAAGAAAAACATTAAATTTTTTCTATTTTTGACAATAATTTATTTTAAAAAACTTAATTTTACTGAAGAACTGACATAAAGTTATTACTTATAAATAATTTATTGAAGTATTTTTTTGAAAAACTTTAATTTCAATTCTGTTGAAATCAGTTTCAATTTAAAAAATTTTAACGCAATTATTTGAAAGAGAATTTAACTATCTTAAACATTAAAATTCTTTCCAGAAATTCAATTATTTTCAAAAAAAATTTAAAAATTCTCGTCAACATTTTAATTATTTTTATAAATAGCAAAATTCTTCGCCGAAATTCAATTATATTTAGGAATTTTTGTAATTTTATTCAATTATTTTCAGAGAATAGAAAAAAAATTGTCGTCAACATTTCAATTAACTTTATAATTAAATAGCAAAATTTTTCGACAAAATTCAATTATATTCAGGAATTTTAATAAAATTCATTGCAAAATTCAAATTTTTTCATAAATATTAGTATTCGTCACAAGAATTTAATAATTTTTAAATTAAAAACTATTTTAATAAAATTTCTCAAAAGAATTCAATTATTTAAAAACAATTTTGACAAAGTTCTAAACGAATATTCAATTATCTTCTAAAATAATAAAAATTTCACAGGAATTCAATTATTCAAAAAATTTTTTTAAATTCTCGTCAACATTTTAATTATTTTTATAAATAGCAAAATTCTTCGCCAAAATTAAATCATATTCAGGAATTTTTATAAAATTCATTGTAAAATTCAATTATTTTCATAAATAAAAATATTCATCACAAGAATTAAATTTTTTTTTAAATTAATAAAATTAAATGATTTTCAATATTCTACTATTTTAATAAAATTTCTCAAAAGAATTCAATTATTTAAGGGGTTAAACCACTCTAGAGCGTCAAAAAGAGGTTCTAATTTCAACATTTTTTTTAAAGAAAAGTTTAAAAGTAATGAAAAATATGTTTATATATCTCTATCAGGTACACTTTAAAGAGAAAAAAATATACTTTATAAATTTTTTTTGTTTAAAAACAGCAGATGTACATGTACGTGATGGAAACCCTTTGTAAAAAGAATTCCTTCGCGGCCGGAAAGGTTTTTTGTACAATTTTCATCCTAGAACAGAAAACAAATTTTTTTCTATTTTTACATCTCAAAAGCTAGAGAAAGACGTAGGGGATTTTTTTTATGTTGCATATTCTTTTAGTTATAAACAATTTAGTGCCTATTTTTTTCAGTCAAAAACTCAGTTTTTCCATAAAATGTTCACCATTTTTGCAAAAATGGATTTAAAAAAAATCCCCTACGTCTTTCTCCAGCTTTTGAGATGTAAAAATAGAAAAAAAATTGTTTTCTGCTCTAGGATGAAAATTGTACCAAAAACCTTTCCGGCCGCGAAGGAATTCTTTTTAAAAAGGGTTTCCACCACGTACATGTACAGCTGCTGTTTTTAAACAAAAAAAATTTATAAAGTATATTTTTTTTTCTTTAAAGTGTACCTGATAGAGATATGTAAACATATTTTTCATTACTTTTAAACTTTTCTTTTAAAAAAATGTTGAAATTAGAACCTCTTTCTGACGCTCTAGAGTGGTTTAACCCCTTAAAAATAATTTTGACAAAGTTCTAAACGAATATTCAATTATCTTCTAAAATAATGAAAATTTCACAGGAATTCAATTCTCGTCAACATTTTAATTATTTTTATAAATAGCAAAATTCTTCGCCGAAATTCATTTATATTCAGGAATTTTTATAATTTTATTCATTGTAAAATTCAATTATTTTCATAAATAACAATATTCATCACAAGAATTCAATTATTTTTAAAAGTAATAAAATTCAATTATTTTCAAAAATTTTTCTTAATTCAATGATTTTCAATATTCTACTATTTTAATAAAATTTCTCAAAAGAATTCAATTATTTAAAAACAATTTTGACATAGTTCTACACGAATATTCAATTATTATCTTCTAAAATAATGAAAAATTTCAGAGGAATTCAATTATTTTTAATACAATTTTAATAAAATTTGGAAAAGTTACTAATAATTGGAATTTCTAGAAATAATTGAATTTTGTAAAGGTTTCAAATTAAAATCTTTGAAAATTTGAATTTTTCATGCCTATTTTTAATTAAAAATTCTATGGAACTAATTTTTTTCAAAAAGTTTAATGGAACTTTTTTGAAATTATTTCAAGTTTTTATTTTTTAATGTATGTTTAATTGAAGAATTTCCGAATAATCGAAATTTTGTAAAACTGAATTGTAAACAAATGAATTTGAAAATACTTAAAAAGAACTTTATCATAAATTATTAGAATTTTATTTAAAAATTTTAGAAAATAATAACTAAATTGTATTGATGAATATAATTTTTAAAAAGTTACAGTAACAATATTTTTTATTATAATATAAAATAATGATTTTATCACTCGGTTATCTTTAATTATTGTAAAACATGCCTCGAAACATGCAGAAATGGATCACTTCGAGTCGAAGACTCAGAGTGATCCATTTCTTCATGTTTTATAATAATTCTATTCATATTCTTTCAAGTTATTGAGTTTCAAAAGTTTTGAATTTAAAAGTTTTGAAATCTTTTTTCCTATGAAAAAATAATAATGATTAAAAAAGAAGTTAAATTATTGATATTTTCTAATAATTTTACAATCAAAGAAATTTGTAAATAAGTGCGATAGAACATTTTTTTGAGTATCTAATCATTTTTAAAGTGGATCAGAATATTTTTTATTGTCAGGAAAAAAGTCAAAATTTTGTCTGGAAATCAGGGAAAAGTCAGGGAATAGAAAATTTAATTTTTGTGGCAACCTTGTGATTGAAAAAAATTAATGATTGTGCCCGTATATATAAGAGGAAAAAAATGCTGCTTTTAAAAGAAGAAATTTGTTTAACATAATTAGGAAGCAAAATGGTCATGAAATTCGAACGTTTTACATATTTGGCTCAAGATTATAAAATTACTTTAATTAAACAAAAGTATTTAAAATTATTTCTGTATTTGAATTATAAGTATATAGTTTCTCAGTGCAGAGGCTATATAAGAGTTTCACTTTCTGTAAAGTGATTTTTTTTTTATTGTTGTCGAAACATAAAGCACAAGGAGTGATCTTTGTTCGATGGTCTCATGAAAAACTCAATGCATTTACTCAATGCTTAAACCATTTGAGGTTATATAATTTGAAATATTCATTTATGCGACCACGCCTCGGTAGTATAGCTCAGTAGGCTTCGTTTCTTGCTGAGTCCTCTACTTCATTAGTAAACGAAATTTACATCCGCCAGGGGAATGCCACTTCAAAAGAGGTGTCTGCTACACTTTATCACTCAAACTATCCAATGATGATCGCCACTTATCAACATATGTCCCAATCGCATAAATTTTATAATCCTTTCCATAAGCTATCCAAAACCTATCGACAAATTCCATCAACTATTTTTTTTGTATTCCATTTATTTTATTTTAATCAAAAA